TCTGACACTCTCTAAAAGGAAATTCTGACAAATTGCAATTTAGTTCAATAAAAATTGTATTCTAGGAGAATATGCTATATGTTATATAGGCCACTGGTGTGTCATTTACTTTAAACTCACAAATAGGAGGAGTGTTAAGAATTGGAGAAGTGGGGCACCCTCATTTGTTTTTATAATTGTCAACCAATTAAATTCAATTCTGTTGACCTTTCCAACTTGCATTCCATATAGTCATATATATAAGCTTTTAGCTGTACAAATTGAATAACCTATTTAATAAAGATCCAATTATGGGAGAAATAGAACACTAACATGCGTCCCACTTCTCACCCAAAAATTCCTAATATTCTTAGTGTGACCAGAGTATTTATATATAATATATCTTCTAATATTGTGTACCTCTTCTAACAGTCATGTGTCCCTCTTCTACCTCCAGTGTCCCTCCTTACCCTTATCAACTTAGGTCCATTAAATCTTTTAAAACTTTTTCTAAGATGAACCTATCTTATCATAAATACAAATTCTCAGAAACAGCAGATTATTTGATTTCTCCCCTAAAGATCTTACCTATTTCAGTTGTCATGACAATTTATAATTTGTATTTGTAGGATACCTATCCAGATGATCTACTAGCTACAGTATTTCAAGCTGTTATCAATGATGTCAAGTTAGCACCAGCAGATATTGGAGATATTTGTATTGGTAGGTCATACAAAATCCCAGGAATTCAGTCATTTGCATTTGAGCTGTATTTTTGTCCTTTCAGTATTTGTCAAAATGGGAATAAGTCGTTGGTTGGTTAGTTTATCTCAGCCCTGCCAAGCAAACAAATATAAATGAGCAAGTATGGTATTTTCAGACAAATTTAATTAAACTGAATTTGAATTCCATCACAATTCTGTATTTTTTTAACAGGAAATGTTGGAGATGAGAGAGCAGCAGCAACTGCCAGATTTGCTCAGTTCTATAGGTAGGCCTATAGTTTAGGTTATGATCACAACAAATATTCTTTTTCAAAACGGTAAATTTAAGGACTATTAACAGTATCAAAGTAGCCTGAATGATCTAGGATGGCCATTGGTCTATCATATTTACTTCATTGATTTTGCCACCTCAAGGATTTTTACTCGCAAATTGGATAGGTACACATTGTTTTCCATCTTCTGATCATTGGGTGAATTGGAGACTATATCTTATATTGCTAAAGTTTCTAGTTAAATATCCTGTTGATTGCTCAGGTTTGATGTTATCAGCCATGATGCATTGTGAATAGTAGCTATACAATCACCAACATCAAGAAGTCTCTATTGTTAATCTTTTTAGTTTGTCATTTTTTTCAGCAACATTCCTGAAACGGTGCCAATCTTTACTACAAACAGACAATGTTCTTCTGGGTTACAAGCAGTTTTGAATGTAGCAGGTTTGTCTGAATTATCTGGCTTCTTAAAAGCTGTTACAGCTCTGGGTAGGCCTTTTAGTACCAACTACCCAGGTATCATTGACAGTTGTTGATACTAATAGTCATTGTGGATTCAAACTTCTCTTTCGACTTTTAGAACATTTTTTTTTTTTTTTTGTAAACAATATTTTATTCATAGAAATGAAAGGGATTGGGGAACAGGCTTTCGCCTATATTACCCCTCTCCCCGGAAACATACAGTACATGATATATTAAATTAGAAAATGATAATAAAATGAATAACATGATTTTGAGCTAAACTCAACATATTTACATGATATCTACACCTCAGTGCTGGTGACATTGGTTGAAAATCTAGGTAATGCAGAATCTTTTCGTTTGCTGAATGAATTTATGATCTTGTTCGAATATGACTATTGATAATTGTTGACATTTTGTTCCGAATAAAAGTGTATTAATAATTAAATCAGAAGGGTGTAACAGAAAGAAAGTATCTCTTCGTACATCTGAATGTATTGGGCTGTAGAGCAAGTAATGTTCAGGATCTTCGAATTGGTGACCACAAAGGCAAGAGGGATTGTCTGAAATGTTTCGTAGAAATTTGTGTCCATTTAACTCGCTACAAGAAAGACAAAGACGACCATGTAGAATTTGATTTTTGCGAGTGCCGAAGAAATAAGAAGATGGTACAGGAATGTCATTTGATTTGAGAGATGCTTTAAAAGATTTTATAGTAGGTGAATTTTGTAAGTTA